GAGGGGGGGGGGGGGGGGGGGGGGGGTGGTAGTGGGGGTGGTGGCAGTGGCATGGTGGTGGGTGGTGGGTGGTGGCAGTGGTGGTGGTGGTAGTGGTGGTGGTAGTGGTGGAGGCGATAGTGACAATGACGGTGGTGGTGGCAACGACGGTGGTGGTGGCAGCGGTGACGGTGGTGGTGGTAGATGTAATGGTGAGGCGGTTTCAAACACTATTTTTTTTTTTAAAAGTATTTATGATAAATAATTTTTAAAAATATTTTTAAAAAGTCACTTCAAACACACTTTTAAGTGTATATTTTTTCTATTAAATTTAGAGTGTTAATATTGGTTGTTAGATTAACTTTAAAGTAAAATTTAAAATAATCTTAACCACGAATAGTAAAAATTATTTTATTTATATTTTTTAAAATTTGAATTATAAAATATTTTATTTTATACATGTATCACATAGGGTGAATGCTAATAAATATCTTAACTATGATAAAAAAATCTTAAGCTAGTATTGAGATCATTAATAACGTGATGCTTGCCCCTCACCGGTTCATGACTCATAAAATACAAGAAAGCATACATATCAATTTATCATAATTTTTTCACAAATATGGTTAGAGAAGTAGAATAGAAATACAAAAATTAATGACTATTCTATATTCTTACTTGATTTAAAACAAAAAAATTAAATACTTTTTTGTACTCCTATTCGATTTTTTTTTGATTAGTCGTTCTATTGAGTCGAATAAGATGAGAAATTGCAACTCATAAACAATTTGAACACCCCATCATTTGTACGGTTGTACCACACTCGCTGGTCGGCTTTTACGTGCAAGACAATAAGCCTGCATTTTCCAACCACTTTCGGGAGGGCCCTCGCAAGGAAACGTTTCACGGGCGACATCTTTCCGCGAATCTTCGCTTCTGAACGCTCGTTTTTGAGCCCCACCTGAATCGCGGCCTTTTAAATACCAAGAATAATTTTTTTTGGCTAAAGTGATTTCATAAGGGTCCATACTTATTATTAATTTAATTATTTATAATTATTAAATTAATAATAAATCTCAATATATTTTAGATTAGAACTCGTAATTTATTTAATAATTGTGATAAATTATATCAACGTATTATACTTAAATAATTTTTTAATTGATTCATTGATTAGAGTCTTACATCATTTCTATTTGATAAATATGCTTTTAAAAATAATAAGATAATTTTTAAAACTTTTGAATGACTCAATTTTCTTTTAATAAAATGCAAGAATAATATTGTATATACTAAATATTTTAATAAATAAAGGTAGATAATTATGCAAAATAAAAAATATGACTCACTGATTTAATAATTTAGATTGATTTTGTGAGCAAAATTTGGTAAAATTTTTGGTAAGTGTAGTAGTGTGGAAAATTCATATCTTTTGGCTGAGTTGTTAATGAATTTTTAAATACTAAATTATACTACTATTATTTTAAATAATGTGATTTATTTATTTTTATATGAAATAACTTAAGTATAATTATATTATTTGGACTTAATTTATTATATAATTTATATATTTAATTTATCACAATTATTAGATTGATGACGGATCCCAAATAATAAGATTTATTATCAATTCAATGATTATAAATAAATATTTTTTTAATTAAATATGATTATAAATAATTAAATTAATAAATTAAATTTAAATAACATTACTTAAAAAATAAAATTGAAGAAAAGAAGGATTATTAGTTAATTATTTTTTCCCGTGAATCACACTCCCTCTTATCAATCACTTTCTCTCTCCTATCATTCTCAACGAGAGGCCTTTTTTCAATAGATAATTGTATGGGTATCAAACGTGTTTATTAAATTATTCTCAGCCGTTGAATTAGTGGGCTCCACTGATTCTACGATTAGCAATGATTTGGTGCACACTAGCATTGCTCTTTTTCAATTCCGACTTCTTCTGCATCGGCCTCTACGTTCTATTTATGGTGTNCACACTAGCATTGCTCTTTTTCAATTCCGACTTCTTCTGCATCGGCCTCTACGTTCTATTTATGGTGTAGCAGCGAGCATTACTTCCCTCATTAATTCACAGCCGTTCAACTCTCTTCCATACATCTTTCCCTCATCGTCTTCTTCTCCTCTTCAGTTTCTTCTTCTGTTCAAGGTTCTAGAGGTAAAACATCAAAGCTGGCCCTCCTGGGTTTCAATGCTATTTGTTTTTTATTCTGTAATTCTTTGGTTTTGCATATATATTTATGAAACATTTCTGCCTCGTGGGTTTGTGGGGATGCTCTAGTTTAAGGATTTAATAGTTCTGATAATGGCTGCATGCTATACATTGGTAGATCCTCAATTATTCTATGTGAGTGGATTGTCATGTTTAGTTTGCTGCAAAGTTTTGCTTTGAAATGTATGCTATATGTTGATGTGGGTTCAATGCCCGCTTTTAGTAGGTTGGTTTATGTGGGTTTGTCATATTTTCCCATAATTCAGAATGATTCCGTCACAAAGAAATTAATTNGCTTTTAGTAGGTTGGTTTATGTGGGTTTGTCATATTTTCCCATAATTCAGAATGATTCCGTCACAAAGAAATTAATTAGATACTGGAAAATTAAAAACAATTAGGGAACGAAGTGGAATTTAAAGTTTTGGATACGAATTTTCTCTTTCTTTCCCTTCTNTATCAACGTATTATACTTAAATAATTTTTTAATTGATTCATTGATTAGAGTCTTACATCATTTCTATTTGATAAATATGCTTTTAAAAATAATAAGATAATTTTTAAAACTTTTGAATGACTCAATTTTCTTTTAATAAAATGCAAGAATAATATTGTATATACTAAATATTTTAATAAATAAAGGTAGATAATTATGCAAAATAAAAAATATGACTCACTGATTTAATAATTTAGATTGATTTTGTGAGCAAAATTTGGTAAAATTTTTGGTAAGTGTAGTAGTGTGGAAAATTCATATCTTTTGGCTGAGTTGTTAATGAATTTTTAAATACTAAATTATACTACTATTATTTTAAATAATGTGATTTATTTATTTTTATATGAAATAACTTAAGTATAATTATATTATTTGGACTTAATTTATTATATAATTTATATATTTAATTTATCACAATTATTAGATTGATGACGGATCCCAAATAATAAGATTTATTATCAATTCAATGATTATAAATAAATATTTTTTTAATTAAATATGATTATAAATAATTAAATTAATAAATTAAATTTAAATAACATTACTTAAAAAATAAAATTGAAGAAAAGAAGGATTATTAGTTAATTATTTTTTCCCGTGAATCACACTCCCTCTTATCAATCACTTTCTCTCTCCTATCATTCTCAACGAGAGGCCTTTTTTTAATAGATAATTGTATGGGTATCAAAAGTGTTTATTAAATTATTCTCAGCCGTTGAATTAGTGGGCTCCACTGATTCTACGATTAGCAATGATTTGGTGCACACTAGCATTGCTCTTTTTCAATTCCGACTTCTTCTGCATCGGCCTCTACGTTCTATTTATGGTGTAGCAGCGAGCATTACTTCCCTCATTAATTCACAGCCGTTCAACTCTCTTCCATACATCTTTCCCTCATCGTCTTCTTCTCCTCTTCAGTTTCTTCTTCTGTTCAAGGTTCTAGAGGTAAAACATCAAAGCTGGCCCTCCTGGGTTTCAATGCTATTTGTTTTTTATTCTGTAATTCTTTGGTTTTGCATATATATTTATGAAACATTTCTGCCTCGTGGGTTTGTGGGGATGCGCTAGTTTAAGGATTTAATAGTTCTGATAATGGCTGCATGCTATACATTGGTAGATCCTCAATTATTCTATGTGAGTGGATTGTCATGTTTAGTTTGCTGCAAAGTTTTGCTTTGAAATGTATGCTATATGTTGATGTGGGTTCAATGCCCGCTTTTAGTAGGTTGGTTTATGTGGGTTTGTCATATTTTCCCATAATTCAGAATGATTCCGTCACAAAGAAATTAATTAGATACTGGAAAATTAAAAACAATTAGGGAACGAAGTGGAATTTAAAGTTTTGGGTACGAATTTTCTCTTTCTTTTCCTTCTTTTTTTTTTTTTTGAGAGTTAAATCAGTGAATTATGCATACTAATGTAATTGCTGGCAATTGTGAAGGGGAATGAGGTGACTGGTACTAAATGTTTGGTAATAATATATGTTTGTGTGTGTGTGTGTGTGTGTGTGTAGATAGGTTATGTCATGGTCTGGTAGATTTGGTGTCCCTTTGTGATGTTTCAAATATTGTGCTTTGATATAATTCAGCCCAAAATATTATTTATGCATTGAGTAACTCTTTCATAATATGTTTCTAATCAATTCATTTTCGTCATTAGTTCTATTTTGTTTATTTATAGCAGTGTTTGTATTATGATCTGCATTGGTATTGAATGGGTAGGATTGCTTGTTGTTTTGACTTGTGTTTACTGTGAATTTTGTTCTGTGTATTATCTTTATTTGTGAAGTTTATGTGTTCTTGGAATTCTCATTCATCAATGATTTTGTCCAAGTGTTGCAGAATGGGAAGTACTGGGGGAACCGATTACGGTGCTTACACCTATGCGGAACTCGAGAGGGAACCTTACTGGCCATTAGAAAAGCTCAGGATTGCCATAACTGGGGCTGGCGGCTTTATTGCTTCTCACATTGCACGGCGTTTGAAGAGCGAGGGCCACTATATTATTGCTTCTGACTGGAAGAAGAATGAGCACATGACAGAAGATATGTTCTGCAATGAATTTCATCTTGTTGATCTCAGGGTCATGGACAACTGCCTAAAGGTCACTAAAGGAGCTGACCATGTCTTTAACCTTGCCGCTGATATGGGTGGAATGGGCTTCATTCAGTCCAATCACTCTGTTATTTTTTATAACAACACCATGATCAGTTTCAACATGCTTGAGGCTTCGAGGATCAATGGAATAAAGAGGTCTGTCACTTCTATATGGTGTATTTGGTCTTGTTTTCGCGAATTTACCTTAATTGGGATAGAGTTCTCAAGTCCATGATTGTAGCTGCATTGGATTATCTAGATCATGAATTCTTTTGTTTATCCTCTTATAGTAACGTTTTTGACGTAGAAACTATGCAATAATTTCTAGTATCTGATAGCTGGTTCAATCCAGGTTCTTTTATGCCTCTAGTGCTTGCATCTACCCTGAGTTTAAGCAACTAGACACTAATGTGAGCCTGAAGGAGTCTGATGCATGGCCTGCTGAGGTTGTTGTCTTACATACTCATCAACAGCAATACCTTGTCTTTTCTCGTATCGTCTTATATCAGAAATAATGAATAAATTGCAATTTTTTGGCTTGCATTTTAGCCCCAAGATGCTTATGGCTTAGAAAAACTCGCCACAGAAGAATTGTGCAAACACTACACCAAAGATTTTGGTATTGAATGTCGGATTGGAAGATTCCATAATATTTATGGTCCATTTGGAACCTGGAAGGGTAAGCTTTTTAATTGCAGCAATCACTTGCATGTATGTATGTTTTTGTTTATTTTTGTATTCTATTAAGGGTTGTTGCTCTGTTCTATTTGGTATAGGTGGGAGGGAAAAGGCTCCTGCTGCTTTCTGCAGAAAAACTCTCACTTCTACTGATAAGTTTGAGATGTGGGGAGATGGACTTCAGACCCGATCTTTCACCTTCATTGACGAGTGTGTTGAAGGTGTTCTTAGGTACATACTTGAAGCTAATGTAGCTGAAGGTTACTTTTTTCTATTTGAGGTTCTTAGCTTAATGTGGCGTTAAACTTTGTCCTCAACTAAGTTACCTATAGATGCTGATGCGCTAACTACATTCATTTTGAGATGCACGTTATGAAACCTGTTGAACTACCAACCAAATAGTTATTCTCTTTTATTCATTCTTATGAGAAGATACATAAAAAAAAATGCACTGAATGTTTTGAAGTTTTTGAGTTTCTCATGCTACAGAAATAGCTAAAAAAAATTTGGCGCACCAAGTAATTGCACAAGTAGGCGGAAGCAAATGATCTCTTGTGCATATGATGGGACTGTTATGTTGATAGTAAATTTCAACAGTTCGAACTATGCGCTTTAAATAAAGCCTACTCCAATTTAAGCAAATTCTGAATCCACACTGATGTTAAGTGTTTAGACAGCTTTTGATGCTCCTGTTTATGCAATTGCAAGTTAAGAAAGAATGGGAAAAATTTGTTTCCAACAAAGAAGCTCTCCTGGTTGAAGATGATAGGGAAAGAGTTAATAAGGGTTTCTTCTATTCGATTGTGTATCTGCGTCTGTGTTCTGTATGTCAGGCGTTTGTGTGAGCTCATGCCTGTGCATTCTTTAATATTGTCCCCCTTATTGCTTACCATATTTTCCTCTTTTTTGTCGTATAATGATGTTCTATGAGACGAACGATCATTTCTTATGCCCTACTTTGTGCTGAAATGCAGAATTATATAGGTGCGATGTAAGCCTACACTATCTGTGCAGTCATCTTTATTTTCAAGTTCTATAATCGACTCTCTAATTGGTATATCATTGTTTATGATTGTTGTATCTAGATTGACAAAATCAGACTTCCAGGAGCCTGTGAACATTGGAAGCGATGAGATGGTTAGCATGAACGAGATGGCTGAGATTGTTCTTAGCTTTGAGGATAAAAAGCTTCCCATCCACCACATTCCTGGCCCAGAAGGTGTCCGCGGTCGTAACTCAGATAACACATTGATTAAAGAGAAGCTTGGTTGGGCCCCAACAATGAAACTGAAGGTACGTAGCACATAATCTGACATTCCTGTTCTTGAAGTCCAACTCAGGTTTAAACTTGAATGGTTTTTACTAGTCAATTTTGAAAATCAATGGAAGTTAGAGAATTTAAAGCATGCTTATATGGCTACTTGCCCTCTGTATCAACTTGCTTCCTTAGCTATGGCATAACAAACTTTACAAATTTGTGCTATTGTAGGACGGGTTGAGATTTACGTACTTCTGGATCAAGGATCAAATTGAGAAAGAGAAAGCTCAGGGTGTTGATTTATCTGTTTATGGGTCTTCCAAGGTGGTGGGAACTCAAGCCCCTGTCCAACTTGGGTCGCTTCGTGCTGCTGATGGCAAGGAATGAATTGGTCAGTTCTTCAAGTTGTACTCTATGGAGCCAAGTTCTACTCTGAAAGGGCTACCTTAGAGAATGCACTAGGCATATATTTGGTAATGTGCCATATTTAAGTTTACAGCTCGTGTTTCTATTTTATTAATGCCTTTTGTGTAAGGGAAGCTCTTGTGCTCCCATAGCGTTCCTGGTTTTTACTGATAAAAAATTCTGTAGGATGATCACTATCAAGCTGAATCTGAATGGCGTAATGTAGTTGCGGCACTTTCGGTGTCCATAATTGATAATTTCATGTTTGGGTAAATACGGAGTGGGGTATGAAAGTATTGCTAGTTATGTCCTAATTACACTTTGTCCCCTTGAATTATGATTGCGATTTCACTTCGTTCTCGTAACTATTGATTTGAAAACATTAAACCATCGGCTTTTAACATTAGAGAAACTTTCCATTAGTGACACTTTTCAAAAACATTTAAATTTTAGACTTAAATGGTCTACATGTCATTTTTAGGAAATAGTTTACACAAATTACTTAAAAGTTTTTTGACGAAAACCCCAATTGATCTTCATGCTTTCCCTTGGTAGTTGATCTTATCCTTAGCTATTATTCTATCTCTATGTTCTGAATCAGTATCATCCAAACAAGTCCCAACGCCATAATTTGTCAACTTGTTACTCTAGAATCGGCACATTCTCTCTTAAGGATATTCGCCAAGTATTGGATTATATACTTTCTAGAATACCACCAAACATGAAAGGTCCAAGACAATCATAACCTTGCATTGTATACCGGGTGAGGCACAACTTAAATTCAATCATTTACTTTCAAATTCATTTAGTATATTCTTTTGGCAACACCAAACCTTAGAGTATCTCGATTTTTATAGAATATATTTTTGTTGTTAATAAAATTTATTGATAGTGGATGATTGGGTCTAGAGCAAAATTGATAAAATTAAAATTGGGCTTATCCAAATTCCATGAAAACCTTTTACTCGTGTACTAAATAAAAGTACCATTTCAAATGTAGCCATCCCTCATCTCTACATCAATGACAATGACAATGACAGGGTATTAATCTTTAGCAAACTAGAAATACTCAATTTGCATGAATTTGTGTAGCATAGAGGGACATATGGCACTATGGCCATGTGATTTTTCGTCCTGAAAATTGAAACAGTGTCGTTTTGGTTGGAACAAGGTGGTCCTTTCACCATTTACTCTTTGTGTGTCGTTGTTGCTATATGACATGTGCTTTATGACTTAAGCACCAGCACGAGGAAAAATTNCACTATGGCCATGTGATTTTTCGTCCTGAAAATTGAAACAGTGTCGTTTTGGTTGGGACAAGGTGGTCCTTTCACCATTTACTCTTTGTGTGTCGTTGTTGCTATATGACATGTGCTTTATGACTTTAGCACCAGCACGAGGAAAAATTATTCTGCAACTTGATAGGACGTCAGTATTCTGCAACTTGACTTTAGCACCGGGCAATATACGTATACCACGGATCTTCGTTCCAGAAGTTTTAATATCGGAACCATTTTAATTACTTTAAGTGTATGAAATCCTTCATAGTCAATGGATGCTTGAGATTTATCTCTGCCTTCTTTAAGAAGAGTTTCATTAACAGATTTAATCTGTTGAGACGCCATTAACGAAGGAAAATAGCCGTATATTTGGGTACGGCCCCTTCTTCGGCCCCCTTGGGGTTCTTCCTTTTTTTCGATTCATTTATGAACCCTGTAAAAATTCCATAAATAAGAAATCCGGTAGAAAATTTAATTCTCCTTTTATATATTCAATCTTAAAATCGAATACTAACAACATAGCTTGTTATCAAGCAAATATTTGTTTAGGGACAATATTTTTGGCATCTTGTTTTAAGATTGTTTTAGCGGAACTACAATTGATTCGTTATGAGAATTCTTAATTTAACAAATCATTTAGGAATTTATTTATGCATTTTACAATGGATAAAATTTTCTTTTTTATAGTTGAATAATTAGATTGGGCTGTACTCCATTTCCCCCAAGTAAATCTTATGAGTATTTCTTTATTAGTTTCAGGGTGTCTTTGTTTAAGGATTCCACCATATCCTATACCTTATACATTAGTTTCTACTATTTTATAGTAATTAGGGTGTATTAAAGATAAATACAGTAGTTGTTTAGCTTTAAGTTTAATCTTTTTTACATCTTCAATGTGATAATTTGTCCATGTCGACAGATTCTTCTGGAGTCTAGTATGAAGAGTAGCTATATCTTGTGCTAAATTTTTACAGAAGTCTGATAACTAATTAAGAATTCCCAAAAATCTTTGTAGCTGTTTTTTATCTTTTATTTCATCAAGAAAATTTAGAAACAATTCAGTACTTCATTCTATAGCGACAATATTCCATGGATTAATTTAACGTAGTGTCCAAGAAATCTAACTTTAAGCTGGAACGATTTCATTTTTACTGCCGAAATAATTAAACCATTTCTTTTAATTGCTTGTAAAAATGTATCTCTAAGTGTTTAAAATGTTAATCAATAGAGTCAAAAAATACGAGAATATTATCTATATAAACAATACAAAATTTTGAATAAGGATAAAAAAATATCATTCATGATAAAAAAAAAAATATCATTTTTAAGCCCAAATGGTATTATATTTCATTTATAATGACCAAAATGAACTGTGAAAACAGTTTTGTACCTGTATTCTNAAAAAAAAAATATCATTTTTAAGCCCAAATGATATTATATTTCATTCATAATGACCAAAATGAACTGTGAAAACAGTTTTGTACCTGTATTCTTCACCAAACCTAAATTTTTCCTTACATAAGCTTTTTTACCCATCTCACGAAAAAAAATAAATGGTTCAAGCGTTAAAATTGGCAAGGTTTACTATTTATTTTATTTCTTTTCGAAATCTAAAGAATTGTCCATGGATCTTTTTGGCTCAACTTTATTTATAATTAATTATTAATCTAGGCACTCTTTATTCCTTTTCAACAGTATTATTTACATAATAAGTTGCACAACTCCAAGGTGGATAACTTTTACGAACTAAGAGCTTGTTTAGTAAAGCTTCAATCTCTGTTTTACAGAATTCTAAATATTCTTTATTCATTTGTGTTGGTCTGACTTTACTAAGAATATCTNAAGTTGCACAACTCCAAGGTGGATAACTTTTACGAACTAAGAGCTTGTTTAGTAAAACTTCAATCTCTGTTTTACAGAATTCTAAATATTTTTTATTCATTTGTGTTGGTCTGACTTTACTAAGAATATATTTTTTATTAAATCCTTGAATATAAGGAAGAGTAACAACATATTTTTTCCTATCCCAAAATGCGGTAGGAATATTGGTACATATTTCATGAATCATTTTATTCTCTATTTGTTTTAATCTAGTTTTAAACTTAGATTAAAACTTTTTTCTGAGATATATTCAAAATCATTTTATCCTCGAGCCATTGACCAATACCACGATGTTGAACCATTATGTTACTATAAAAAAGGCAACCCTTAAGTTTCAAGCAACATATAAAAATTCAAAGGGAAATATAAAATTTTTTACCAACAAACATAAATTCAGAATGATCAAATTTTTATGGAGGGGTAAAATGAAACATAACTTCAAGAGTCCAGTCTAAGCTTTTAGAGGAACTGATTGGGTTACTGGGTCAAATTGATAAGAGTCAAAAAAAAAAAAAAAATTGTTGGTTATAGATTTTATTTGGAAACAAATAAGTGCACTTTTGTAATAGGGGTTCATCCTAGATGGGTATAATCAATCCGATGAGTTGTATAATATGTGGGTCAATTTTTTTTGTTTCTATCTATAAAATATTTGATTTGAAAAAAGTGAATACACTTTCCTAATAAGGTTAGAATCTCAATTAATATGTCATTGAAACTTCCTATTTAGTAAAAGGCTAAATTTGGTAAGTCTTCATATTTAATTCTTGGCTTCTTCGATAATTGGCCGTTGGATCATGATCTAATGGCTCACATAAAAAGTACTCACTAGAGATTACAGTATAGAATTTCCATGATCACGTTACTCTATATATATCTTGATTTTTTTGATGGAGTAAGGGTTTCATACCACTCAATACATTTATTAAAACATCTTTGGAGAGATTGGTGGACAAAAAGACCGCTTTGCCCTTCCATCCAAAGAGAGCTTGGTCATAGTTGAGGAGGGTATAATTCCTTCTGCACGCTTTTTTGGGGCTTATTAATATGCCACACATTAGCTCTTACATATATTTGTAAAGGTATTGCTCTAGGGGGAGCATTTGTTATTGTAGAGTTGAGATTGAGATGGTAGGTTTGCTTAGGAAATATTCACCAATTCCTTGGGCAGGGTTTTACAAGGACTTAGATAGAATAGAAGATTGGAATTTTTTTAATCTGCAAGATTAGTTGGAATTTTTAGTTAAAATTTTATCTAGTAGAGTGATTGATCCTCACCTTAGTGGTGGGAAGAGTGGGTGTAGGTCACATTGGAGGAAGTCGAACCACTATATAATGCGTGTTTCCATTGTCCTATCTTGAATATCTTCCTTATATGTTATGAAGAAAATTGCTTCAAGCATGGAAATTCTTGTCCTGAGATTTGGAATTATGGAAAGGAGAATATGAGCTTAACGTTTGCTAGTCTTGATGCATAAGGTTAATCATTCTTGATATATGTTTGAAAACAAGCACATTGGCTTACATTAGAGTCTGGAACACGAGAAAATTTAGAAGCTCATAAAGGTCCATTTACAGGTCAAGGCCATAAAGGCCTGTATGAGATCAAGTATTTAGTGCACATTTCGGCCAACTCTCCATTATCTTTCTTTGGCTGAGTGGCATGTATTTCCACGGTGCTCGTTTTTCCAATTATGAAGCATGGCTAAGCGATCCGACTCACATTGGACCTAGTGCCCAAGTGGTTTGGCCAATAGTGGGCCAAGAAATATTGAATGGTGATGTGGGCGGGGGTTTCCGNTGAGCTTAACGTTTGCTAGTCTTGATGCATAAGGTTAATCATTCTTGATATATGTTTGAAAACAAGCACATTGGCTTACATTAGAGTCTGGAACACGAGAAAATTAATTTGAGTTAAATTGAAATAATTTAAACATTTGAACTGTAAAAGGGTGCTTCTGAGAATCAAGAACCACCAGTCATCTACCTTTTGACCTATTAGATTGGTAATCACATAATATGGTTCGTTCTTCTATACAGTTAACCAAATTAATCTTTGTAGATTTTCAAAAATATATCATTTCACATTTTAATAAGGGAGAATTATAGGACTGAAGTCCTACCCGAATGATTAAAGTCCTCCATA